AGAGAGAGAGAGAGAGAGAGAGAGAGAGAGAGAGAGAGAGAGAGAGAGTGAGGGGGCACCTGTCCATTCTCTCCAGGCCTGCGGCATATTTCTTCAGCCTTCCTCTCGTGCCATGTGACTGAGACGGTGGGCCCTCCATGCAGCCTGCAATACTGTCTGTCTGTCCGTCCATCCATCCTCTGCACAGAGGAACCTTCGGGATGCTCCTGCTACATGCTGCTCCCTTTCCAGGGCCAGACTGGGCTCCTCAGTGGGAGGCTCTGGGTTTGAATCAGGGCAGGACCCAGGTGCGTTTCCAAGCCTTTCAGAACAGCTGCTTTTGCATGCTGGAGCCAGTGCAGCCGGCTCCCATTGAGGGTGTGTGGGAGATAGGGAAATACGGACTGCACGCCCCATTCACCCAAATCCTCCAGCAGATCCCAGCTCCCAAGGCCTGGGAGTGCTGCTGTCAGGGAAGAAGTGCTCTCACCTTTAACATTTCAATGGAAAACATCCCTTTCATTCATCTTATGGCAGCAAAGGCAGGAGAAAGCACCTTTCACTTGGTCTCTCTGAGGTGGGGTCACCTAGTCAAAGATCCCACTGAAATCTACACCACGAGTGGGCATGTTTGTGTAAATGGGTGTGCACAGCCCCATTGTGAACAGGCCTGGTAGAGTTCTGATTGCTGTGGGAACTGGGACCATGTGTGTGAAAGCTCTGCCCTCCAGCTGCATTAATTTCCTATGTCTCCCTATACAAATATGTAAATCCTGCTGGTTGTGGAATTGTTCCTCCACCCCCATGTTGCTCCCTCAGTCAGGCATGCCACCTCTGCGCGCTCATGCACACGCACATGCCTCTCCTTTCCCTTCATGCTGGCCCACACATGGAAACCTGCTCCGTAGCCCCTTTCATAAGCAGTTCTTTACTGCCCCTAGGATCCCTGCACACATGGCTGCCTCCTGGAAAGCTGTGAAACAGCTCCAGTTCAGAAACCAGTCTGCTTGTAGCCTATGTTCCACAGCCCCACCTTGGAGTCTCCAGCCCTGAGGCAGGGATGAAGCAGGATCTTTTCTTTGGAGTTGTGTATGCAGTCCCCACCTGATATCAAAATCTCTGACATCACAGTCCTCTCTGGGAACGGGTTTGCCTGAGAAAGCATGATTCTGCATCACTGTCACAGACCCCGGTGTGCAGGGAGGAGAGCAGCTGCTGGAGACAGACAGGATTGTGGGAGGAGATGGAAAATGTGCTCTAGAATCATACTTGGGTTTTCCCTAGAAAGCAGCTTTCTGTGCACACCAGGAGTATAGACCCAGCTCTGCCCCAGTGGTCTTGAGTACCTCCTCTGTCCCATTGCATGTGTGTGTGTGCAGTGCACTGGGGTGGTGAGGCAAGGGCCCAGAACTTGCATATCCAGCACAAGGGTTCCCCTTCTCCCCAAAAGGGGCAGCCAAGCTCTTCTGAAAGGCTACATGTGGGGAGAGAGAAGCCCCCATGTGAATGGACTGCCACTCTGCCCACACACAAGCACACATGGTGGGGTCCAGCCCAGTGGCTCTCAAGTAGTTGTGTGGCCTGCCCAGGCTCTGGAGCCCTTCGTGTGGCTGGGCCTTTGGGCTACTGAGTCCTTGTGCTGGGAGGGGTTGTCATGGGTCCCGTGTCCTTCTGTTCTCTTCTCTGTGCGTTCCTCTTGGTGTCCAGGGCCTGGCGCAGTGCGGCACAGCTTGGAGGTTTGACAAGAATTCTTTCCTTCCAGAGATTTCCCCGAGTTCTGTTGTTTGGTTTCTTTGCTTTGCTTTCCCTGTTGCTGTCTGGCTACTCACACGCCATCTCTCTGTGAGTGCCAAGGCTGCCCGAAAGGGCCAGCACATCAGGGAGTCTCCACACGCTGCCTCCGGAGTGGGCTGCTCCCTCTCATGCTGTGCCAGCAGCTGGCCCTTCATGAGCCACTTCAAAGCACTTCCTCTCCGAGAGCTCCCAGCCCTCTTTTCCCAGCCTGCCATTGGCTGCCAGGGCTCCACAGACCCCTTGCTTTGGGAGGGGAAGCCGGCACCTCAGCTGGTCACTGGGTGTGTGGGGGGGATGTTTATTACATGCCATTAATAAATGATCGTAGGGGAGAGATTCAGCCTGGTGTCTCCTCTCCCACCACTTCTGCCTGTGGTAGGGATTCCTGTGCTGCCCAACGCTGATTCCTGGGTATGTTCCATCTGCAGAGGAGGAACCCTAGTGGCTGCCTAGAAGGGTTGGCTCTGGTTAGAGGAGGCTCTGCCTTTCCTGTAGGAGGATAAGGCACTATCCAGGCATGGTCCACAGCAGTGATTATCCCCACCCAAGTGTTGCTAACAGGAACGTTCAGACTTCTGGTTACATGTAAAAGTAATCCAAATGCACTAAGACAGGGGTCCCCAATGCGATGCCCGTGGGCACCATGGCGCCCGCCGGGGCGTCTAAGTGCACCCGCGTACTGGCCGGCGGACGAGCAACTGCCAAAATGCTGCCAACAAGCAGCGTCATCCAGAGGCGTCGGCGGCATTCGGTGGCGATGCCTATTGACGTTGCCGCTTGTTGGCCTCCACGGTCCTCCGTGGCTCGTCGTCTGGTGCCCGCCAGACGAAAAAGGTTGGGGACCACGGTACTAAGAAATGGAAACGCACAGTTAAGGCGCCCAAGCAACCTTACTTCTGCCTTGTAGGAAGGCCATGAGGGGTTAAAAATGAAAAAGATCCATTTCTAAACATGTTTGGATTGCTTTTACATTCAACTTTGACTCTCAACTTCCTGGGTTAGTAATTCTTGGTTTGGAGATAGGTGCAACATTCTGGAATGTTTTTACATAAGTTATTGCTATTTACCCAGCCTTAACTTCAGTAGAATGTGGATTTTTGTCTTTGAATTTCCTTGTACTTTAAAGTTATTAAAATTTCATACGTGAATGGTAAACAAGAAAAGAAACCCAAGGAGCAGGTTCCCGTGGGGTATTTCTAATGATCTGAAGATAGGAAGGGTCAACTTCAAATCAGTTTTTTTTATTTTAACTTTTTATTTATGTCCATATTAACCTGTACACTTTGGTCACCCCACTCTGGAGCAGCCAGAGGTCCCTGACCAATTCCCCGTGCGCCTGGTCTCCATTATCTCCTGTACACCTGCACAGCCTGGCAGTTCCTTACATGCCCCTGTGTGCACACACCTCAGACACACTCCCTGGTCAGTATATGTGGTGAGCACTGTTGGGGTAACAGTCCTCACTGCAAATGTCTCCTTCAGCAGGGACCGATGGGCATCCCGAAGACCAAAATGGTCACCCTCTTGTGTCCAATGGAAGGGAAGTCAAGCTGTACCCAAGGTGGCCCCTGCTCTTTCCCTCAGGATGACTTGGCTTCATTCTCACTGGAACTAATGGGAAATGGTGACTATTTCGAAAAAGCACTCAGCCTTATTCTCGCTTTCAAGGAGAGCTATGGGAGCCAGCTGCCATTTTGAAAGGGGAGTTCTTTGGGGTATTCATGAGCCCCTGCTAATAAACAGCAGCACGCAATAATCCTTCTCCCTAACATACCAGCTTTCAAATATGGCCTCCTACGATGTCAGAGAGTTCTGGCCACCTGGGGAGTTTTATGCATCCCGCCTACCTCCAGAAGTTCATTCTGTCCTTTGTAAGTCCTGGTGGTCTGTGGAGGACACGCTGGCCTTCGTTCAGGCTTGGTTTTTGCTTGGTCTCCACCTCTGCCCATTCTGATTTCCCCTGGGAGCCAAACCCCAGCTTGATCCCTGAGAGGATGCGAATAGTTGAGAATCATAGAATATTAGGGTTGGAAGAGACCTCAGGAGGTATCTAGTCCAATCCCCTGCTCAAAGCAGGACCAACACCAACTAAATCATCCAAGCCAGGGCTTTGTCAAGCTGGGCCTTAAAAACCTCTAAGGATGGAGATTCCACCACCTCCCTAAGGAACCCATTCCAGAGCTTCACCACCCTCCTAGTGAAATAGTGTTTCCTAATATCCAACCAAGACCTCCCCCACTGCAACTTGAGACCATTGCTCCTTGTTCTGTCATCTGTCACCACTGAGAACAGCCGAGCTCCATCCTCTTTGGAACCCCCCCTTCAAGTAGTTGAAGGCTGCTATCAAATTCCCCCTCCCCTCATTCTTCTCTTCTGCAGACTAAATAACACCAGTTCCCTCAGCCTCTTGTAAGTCATGTGCCCCAGCCCCCTAATTGTTGCCCTCCGCTGGACTCTCCAATTTGTCCACATCCCTTCTGTAGTGTGGGGACCAAAACTGGATGCAATACTGGTGAGAGAAGTAAGGTCTGGCCTTCGCACAGACTTTATGCCGGTAGAACTGGGTCAATTAGGGCTCTGATATCATTCTACCAGTACAACCCCTAGTGTGGACACAGTCTGACCAGTATCAAGGTGCCTTATACCACTATAGCTTATTTCCCTTCCAGTACAGGACTGTCCCATGTACTACAGCACCCACCCTGGGAGGGCTGTCCTGCTTTAACCACACCAATACAGCTAAAGCGCTACACCCCTTGTGTGTAGACAAGCCCCTGAGTGGTTACAGAAGTGCATCAGCTAGGGCAGTGCATGGGTGACTTCCCACCCTGACTCTGTGAGAATTGCAGTTGTTTAATTCTAGAACAACTCTTGACTCCTTCTCTGTGGCCTGCAAACTAGTGGGTGTTACCAAGCAGCCACTGACGAAACAGTGTTGAAATAGCTGCACCAGCAGAGAGGGAGGGGCCAGGGGAGCTCTGGGTAGAGAAACTCACAGGATCTGATATGAATTGGGTCTGTTTCTTATTGCTCCCTTGTGGAGCCTAGTTAGATCTCTGCCCCGCACAGGAGGGATGACACATCTCCTTCAGGGGCCACGGACTCCTCACTCTCCTTGGGAGGCACCAGAGCCCCACAGGGTTAGTTATTTCTACAGCCCCGTAGATCTGTTTGACTCTTTACTAACACAAAAGATGCTCCGGCCAATGGGAGTTAAACAGCAGGACCTTTCTCCAGGAGGTCCCTGAGGTGATGGGTTTGCGCTGGTACTCCTTTATTAACACCACAGCCATTTGGCTTTTTTGCACAAATTGCCTCCATGAGCTGCCTCCCCTCCTAGCAGCCCAAGCCCGCTGGACAGAGAGCTGCTAAACTCCAGAGCTGTTGTCATACTTCAGGCAGTTCTGAGTGGCTCTATGCTGGGGTGCCAACCAGCATGCGGGCACCTCCGTTTATTTGCATAGTGCAGATCTGTTAATTAAAATGAAGAGGTGCTTGGGGATTTCTGGCCTTCAGGAGAGTTGCTGTTAGTGTCCCAGGGCTGGCCCTTTGTGGGGCCATAGTGCAGGAGGGAGGGGGCCCTGATGGGCTTGAAGCCCAGGTGCTGAGACAGGTGGAATAGCATCCTGGAGGCCAGGTGGCCTGTTGCTGCCCAGGGCACGTGGCCCATTGTTTGTATTTGTGATAGTTTGTATGAAAGTTGATGTATTTTTAATTGAAATGGTGCACTGGTGAGAGCTGAGCCAGTGTCCCAGGCAGCTGTAATGCAGGAAGCGTAGGGTGTGTGTGTCTGCCTCCCGACGGGGAGATTGCCTTGCTGGGAACTGCAGCGTCTCTTCCCCTTCCTCCCATTCCACCAGCATGGCTCTGGTTTCTACGGCTACTGGGTAGTCCCTGGAATCACAGGGAATGGACAGAAAAGCCCTGCTAGGGCCCGGGCAGGGCTGTTCCCTAGGATAGGTTTCCTGCCTTGAGTGGGTCCCAGCGCTCGCAGGCCTTTTCCATCCTTAACTCGATGGGTCTGTGATACCCTATGCAGCTAGGTGAAATGGGCAGAGGAAGGGTTAATCTGTCACTGCTCTCAGGTTGGCTCTTTTTCTACCCCACTGCCCACCTTCCCTTTATCTTAGCCATCCCTCAACTGGGTCCGTTTGGAACCTGCATGACACTAGCACCTGCCACAACATTCAACTGGTCTCAGCAGGTGGGGCGAGCCCACTCTCCGGCTGCCGTGTTTTGAAGGAGAATAGGGCTGGTTTGGGACACGCCGAGGCTTGGGTCAGTGCTGTGCTTCTCCTGCGATTGGTGTTGCTAACCCCCTACAGCTGCCATCCTCCCCGCGTCTTAGGTCTTGTCTACAACAAATATGCATGGTTTAGTTCAACTGGTGCAACCCCAATGTGGATATTCATATTTTGGTGTGAGTAGCTTATTTTGGTTAAGCTTAAACCTATTTCTAATACACTTACACTAAACTGGAATGAGCATCCACACGGCCTTTGGCGCTGGTTAACATGAAGCCAGTGCAGCTTTGGGGGTAGCTGCAGAGGGAACAGGCTCCTGGTAGCTGAGGAATGGAGGAATCAAGTATCCTTCAATGTTGTCAGCTGCATGTACAGGGATGTAAATAAACGAGCTGGTTAGAGCTCTGGCCTGGCCCTGAGAACTGGCTCAATTGGACCTGTTAGGGCTTCTGTGGTCAGGTTTAAGGATTTGGGATCTGAAGTGGGTTGGTGTAGTTAGATGCAAATAAACTGGTAATTAACAAAAACCTCTTGGGTGATACCCCAATTCTGGAAGTCAGGGCAGGATTGCTACATTGTCAGATTCTGGCCTCCACACCCCTGTGAAGCTGTTTCCACAATCGAACGCCTCACTATTGCAGGATGTTTCCTGATACTCAGCCCAAATTTTGGCTGAACTTAATCTTGTTGCTCTTAGTTGTAACCACTGAGGGCCTTGCTCAGTCCCTGCACCCTTCACACTTGTAGCTCCTTGTTGTATCCACCCTTACTCTTCATTCGGCCAAGTCCTACATAACTGATTCCTGTAACCAGTAGTCACAGTGCTCTCTCTGGGTCCTTCATTCTTTCTGTGGGAATTCAGAGAAGAACCTGAATTTGTCTCCAGTTTCTGGTGATGGGGCACTCAGAAATGACAAAGTATTCATAGATTGATAGATTCCAAGGCCAGAAGGAACCATTGGGATCATCTAGTCTGACCTCCTGAATAACACAGGCCAGAGACCTGCCCCAAAATAATAATTCTTACAAGATCTCGTTTAGAAAACATCCAATCTTGATTTTAAAATTCCCAGTGAAGGAGAATCCACCATGGCCACTAAATTGTTCCAGTGGTTAATTACCCTCATTGATGGAAATTTACACCTTATTTCTAATCTGAATTTGTCTAGCTTCAATTTCCAGCCATTAGATTGTGTGTTAGACCTTTCCTTTCTAGACTGACGAGCCCATTATCAAATATTTGTTCCCCGTGTAGGTATTTGTAGACCCACTGCCTTCTCCCCTTTAGCCAATTCCTTATCCAATGCTTGTACTGATCCCCATCTTCCCTAACTGCACTAATTATTTCCCATGTGGTACCATGTTAAATGCTTTACAGAAGTCCAAGTATATTAAATTTCTTTCACTTCCCTCCTCTGAAAAAAATATTTTTTTAGATAAGGATATGAGGTTAGTCTGGCATGGTTTATTTTTGGTTAACCCATCTTGCATTACATCCCCTTTACCATTTACCAATTTAATTATTCTTGAAATATTTATTGAAATACTTCTGCCTGTTCTGCATTATTATTGGTAATTATATCATTTCCATCTAGTAGTGGACCAGTGCCATTGTCAGGATTCTTTTTGTTCCTAATATGCTTAGATTCCTTCTTATTGTCCTTAATTCTGTTGGCCATAGATTTCTCCCTGTGTTCCTTGGCATCCCTTATCAGTTTTCTACAGTACCTAGCTTCTGATGTATATTCATTACTATTGACTTCCTCTTTCTTCCATTTGTTATATATCTATATCTATATCTTTATAGCTGCCATCTCTTCCTCTAAACCAGGTTAGGTTTTTAAACCACTATGACCTTCTTCCTCAGTTGTGAAATTGTGGCTTTTGGGGCATCTGGTAAATTATGTGACCTCACCAAAAGTATGCACAGAAGGGCTGTTCCTTCCCTTCTTGTGGAAGGAAGGCCTCTGGGCTTGGAAGGTGAGCACAGGATCCTGGGGGGTGTCTCCCCAGAATGGGATAGAGAGGGGCTCCCACTTCATGGGCTGGGCCATGCTTTGCATTTGCCGCACAGAACTGCCCTGCTCTTTGTTGCCATAGCACTCTTAATTCCCTACCCCTCTCATTCCTTTCTGCTCTCTCCACAGGTTGCCCTTCCCACTGGGTGTTTGAGTTTTAGGTTATTTTCTCCCAGACCCACTAATCGCATTTTTCTCAGCGGAATCCCATTCTGTTATTTCCTGCTCAGGTTTTCCAGCCTCTCTGGCCCCTTTGGATCATGCCTCTGGTCTCCTGGAGGTTCTGGCCTTCTCCCAATTTAGTATCACGTGGGAATGTCACTCACATGTTGCTCACCACTGTGTCTGTGATCACTAACATGCTAACTCAGGCCAGTCTAACTGTAGTCGTGGCAGCTGTTCCCCCCCTGCCATCCGCTGCCCTCTGTTTACATCCTTCAGCCAGTTACTCAGCCCTTGCAAGTTTCAGATCTATGCCCATTTGCATTCTTTCAGCCCAGAGAAGCAAGGCTCGAGGCACACACTGTCTTGGGGTCTCAGTGGCTCTGGGGTCTGATGGCACACAGACTACTTGGCAGCTTTGGGCGTTTGTGGCTGACTGTGCCTGTAATTGGTTTGAGGTGGAAGGACAGAGCTTTAGCTTCAAACCCTGCTTGCAGTACAGTGAAAGTAAGGGGATGCCACCCAGTGCCAGCAGGAGAGCAGCCCCTTCCACCCAGCAGCACGCACATCTCTGGGATGGTGGGGGGTTGATGGGGAGAGAAAAGGGAGGCAGAGGTGTTTGAGAATCAGGCCTGGGCTACAAACTAACTGGCACCAGTTTAGTGGAACCAGGATGGTGGGTTAGTGTTAGTGAACATAAGAACGGCCGTACTGGGTCAGACCAAAGGTCCATCCAGCCCAGTATCCTGTCTACCAACAGTGGCCAATGCCAGGTGCCCCAGAGGGAGTGAACCTAACAGGCAATGATCAAGTGATCTCTCTCCTGCCATCCATCTTCACCCTCTGACAAACAGAGGCTAGGGACACCATTCCTTACCCATCCTGGCTAATAGCCATTAATGGACTTAACCTCCATGAATTTATCCAGTTCTCTCTTAAATGCTGTTATAGTCCTAGCCTTCACAACCTCCTCAGGCAAGGAGTTCCACAGGTTGACTGTGCGCTGTGTGAAGAAGAATTTCCTTGTATTTGTTTTAAACCTGCTGCCCATTAATTTCATTTGGCAACCCCTAGTTCTTATATTATGGGAACAAGTAAATAACTTTTCCTTATTCACTTTCTCCACACCACTCATGATTTTATATACTTCTATCATATCCCCCCCTTAGTCTCCTCTTTTCCAAGCTGAAAAGTCCTAGCCTCTTTAATCTCTCCTCATGTGGCTTTCTGCCGATGGGCAGGGCATAGAGCTTACCCCAAATCAGTCCAAGAATCAGTTGCAAAGTGTGGGCCACAGGGGAGGTGGAGGATGTAGCAGGGGAGGGGCAGGCAGGAGGGCACACAAGCTCATCTGCTATCCTGCTTAAAGAGGCCTGTTCTCTCCCTCTCCTGGCCCCCAGACCAAGGAGCACATGTTCCCAGGGCAGACTCCAGTGGAAGGGGGGCCCAGGCAGCCTGGAGAGGCAATCCCCTGTCTGCTCTGAACTGTGGCTGTGTTTGGCCAGCAGCCCTGGCCGAGCCCATGGAGAGATGCAGTGTGAGTAGCCAGGCAGTGCTGCAGGCCTGGCCCCCTTCTCTGCTATCATGCTATTTTTGAATTCTCTTTTGTTTTTGTTTTTTGTTTTTCTTTTTTGTTCTGTCTCCTCGTGTTTGGTCCCTAGGAGCCAGCGCTAAGAAACAGGGCGAGGACTTAGCGGATAATGACGGGGATGAAGACGAAGGTATTTCTGTGCTCGAGGCTGCTGCTGCTGCATGACACGCAAAGCAAATCCGTTTGCTTTCCATTCTCTGCCATTTCCAGGGAGCCCTGTCTGTCTGTGTCTTTGTTTCCTGATCAGTTGCACGGGGCGGGCAGGTGGGGTGACCGGCTGTGCAGGGGGCGCTCATACCTTTCCTTTGGGGGAAGCTCGGGGGGTTTGCTTTACAAGGAGTTTGCTGGCTGCCCAACCTGCCTCTGTATGAGCAAAAGGCTCTAAGGAAGCATGGCGACATGAACAAGAGAGGAGCCAAAGGGTGCCTGGCTCGATTTCACCCCAAGCCCAGTCACATTTCACCTCCAGCCTCAGCTCTCGCTGGACCTCAGACTTACTGTGTCAATTAAGAGACTTTCCTTTTTGGCTCCACCCCCCATGCTGCCATCCCAACCTCCCTTCTCCCCACGGTGCACAGTGTCAGAGCCGGCAGCACCTGTCCTCATCCCCTTGTGTCCCGTGCAGCTCCCTCTGAGGCCCCACTGGCTTGCAGGGAGCATGCACATGGCAGAATGCAGTCCAGACCTGCTTTAACCCATGTCCGGATTTGCTATCTAGAGTCTAGTCGGGCTCTCTCTCTCTCTCGCTCTCTCTCTCTCATGCGGCCGCTCGTGCGCTCTCTGCTACTGCCGCTCCCCACTACAGATGCAGAGGAAACTGGAAATATGGATGAAGGCAATAGGCTGAGCACAGAGCTGTCGGGAGCTCTGGAGACCTGCAGAAGAGAGCACTGTCACTTTACTGGCCTCTGGTTTCTCTCCAGGATTAGCATCTTCATTTAGGAGCAGGGATACCCCTCACCTGTCCAGTGAAGGGCAGCAGGCCCTGCAGAGAGTAGCCCTGAGCGTTCTGTTGCAGGCTGTGCCATAGTGTCTGGTTAGCATCACCCAGGCTAGCTCAGCGGGTTGGATTTGAGGGGCACAGAAGTCCCCCATTTGGGTGTTTGATCTGCTTTAAATATCTGGCTGTGCTTGCTGCACAGTTGCTGTTAAGGGCGACCATGCATTCCACAACGCACTGCTTGTGAGTCTGTGACTTGCCAGCTCTTGGCCCAAGCCCCATGTGAGTGGATTTGAGGAGGGCAGCAGCTCTGGTACCGCCCAGGTGTGAGGGAGAGGACATGCATGCTGTATTGTTTGCTGAGAGTATGGCAGAGCCTGTGGGTGAACGAGTGAACACGCCAGGGTTGGATGGGGCTGCCTGGCGGGAGCGAACCGGGGCACTGCACACTGTCACAATGAGCTGGTGAATTTGGCAGCTAGTCTCAAAGAGCCTGACTGCGGGAAGGGGAGGAAAGGCAAGCATTACTTCAGTGGCTTGGCCACCCCTCTCGGGTTGCTGGGCTCTGTGCGGCCAGGGACAGATCAGCCTTGGCAGGTGGCTTTTCTCAGCAGAGTGGACAGGAGTATCTGATTTTGCCTGCCATGTCCAACGCAGAACTGGGGGCTGGACAGTATGGGAGGGTGCAGTCCCTTCTGCGCAGCTCTGATTTGAATCGCCAGGGGGCACTGGGAGAAGTGGTGCTGCCCCGTGGCAGGTGATGGTCGTTGTGGTGGCAGCCTGATTAACTGTGAGTTAGTGACCTTGGCATGTGGGTGGCTAAACATTAGATCCACCACAAAGGAATAAACAAGAATTTCCCGAGTTGAGCCCCCGGCTGGAGGTGGAGCCATGGGCAGCAGCTCCTTAGTCAGGGCCAGGGGTGCCTTGCCGCTGAGGCAGTGCATGTGATGATTTGCCAGAGGCCAGAGGGATGGGTGCGCACCAGATGCCTTTTATTGTGCCAGTCCCCTGGTATCAAGTCCCTGGAACGTGAGCCTCTGATGTCTCAAGTGGAGCAGGTCCGAACTAAGGCATCAGAGAGGCTCAGAATGTAGAGGCGGAGAAGCCCAGTTAGATCTCATCGCATCTTTCTCCTCTCAGCCAGTGCAGTGCAGGGTTCCCTGCACTACACTCATGTTCCATGTGCTGGCCAAGGGGCTCCCAGCCTGCCCCGCCGGGGACGATTCCCAGCCAGCGCTGTCCCCCAGGCAAGGAGTGCGGGGCTCTTCCGGGGGGCGGTGGTGCTAAGGCAGTGGTTTCCAGCTGCTCCGCCTAAGAGACCCTTTCTCAGTTCATCTGGCAGCAGGAGGCGACGCTGTTTGGGCAGAGCTGTTCAGAGCCTCAGTGGAGGAGCAGCTGGAGCTTGCTGTGGCGGGAGGAGTGTCTGGACAGGTTCAAGAGTTGCAAGGTCAGAGTGGGGCTGGAGACCAGCACAGCAGGCTAGGTGTGAAGCTGGAGGGGGAAATGACTGGGCTGGGCCCCTCAGTGCCTGGAAGGTGCAGAGAGGAGGGGTTGTGGTCCTTTCCTGCCTGGAGGAGGTAGTGCAAGGGGGTGTCTCCCTTTAATAACAAAGAGCCCAGATTGCTGGCAGTGAAAACAAAAACGGGGGTGGAGCAAGTGAGAGTAAAAAACAGGCCCCAAAATCTGCAGATCAGCAAGGACCCTGCTGTGTACAGAGGCCAAGGCCCTGCCCTACACAGTTGCAGCAGCATAACTGAAGATGGGCTTTTAAGATGACTGAGTCACACTGGTCCAATACCCTGTCTGGATGCTGGGAATTCAGTTTAAGCCTGGCTTGTATCAATAGAGAATCGAGTGAAATTAAATGGATACAAGCCAGGTTTAAAGTGAATTCCCAGCATCCAGGTACGGTCTTGTATCACTTTAACTGAAAGTGTGATTTTAATCTGGCGCAACTTTGAATGTAGACCAGGCCTAAGGGAGCTGCAAAGCTGGCTGGTGCTCAGTATAAAAGGCAACTGACCTATCGTGTTGGCAGGAAGGGAGAGTTTGTGGGGAAGTTTGCTGAGGACACAGCTGTAAACTGATGTCAGTGGAACCTGGTGAATTGTGAGAGTCCTGTGGCATTCAGGGCACCCTCCTGGCAGATGGAATTTAACCTGGCAAAACCAGCCTGTCTTTCCATCTGCAGCCTTTTGCCCCCATCCCAGAACCCCTTGTACTGTGACCTAAATTGGTGTTGGTCTTCAATGCACGTCACTGTGATAAATTCACCTCATTAGCGATATCCTTGGCGGACACATTGACAATGTTGGGGATTGCACATTCCCTGGTGCTGCATGGCCCTCAGCCTCCCCACTGCAGCTGTGGCATTTGGGGGCGGGGGTGTCTATGTATGTACACACGGGTGCTTAGATTGGGGGGAGGTAAATGTGTGGGGGCCCAGAAAGCAGCTTCCCCCTTGTGTCACAACGTCTCCCATGCTGCACCGGATTAGCTCCACTGAGGCACCAGGGGGTGAGTGGCTTGGTGATGGCAGTCCCGTGTGCAGGACTGAAAAAACGCAGTGCTGAGAATGCTGTTGCCAGAGACATTAGCTCCGCCAGGGCTGAGATGCGAAAGGTCCGGAGAGGGAGCAAGTCTGAGGGATTTAAATGAGAAAAGGTCCAGAATGCGTAGCCTTTCCAGCTTGTGCAGCCTGCCCACAGGACAATGTCCAGATGCTCTGTGTAGCAACTCCTCCCTGTGGACACCTCAAAGAATTCTCCACCCCAGGTGCAGTTACGGGGCTTGCCGCCACCTGGTGACACAGCAGGAGAGGGTTCTGGCAGTGAATAGGTACTGTAAGCTGCTTGTAAAAGCCAAGGGAGAATCCCCTTGGTACCCCCGCTGCATTTGGCAAGCTTCAGCCTAAGGAGTGGACTGGGCTGGGAGGTGTAGCCCATGCTGCTGTGGCCATAAGTGACAGGTAGTGACTGAGCAGGCTGCAGTAATTTAGAGCAGCCCCAGGGTTACTCTAAGTTGCACACATGGGGCTGTTCTGGCCCTGTAGTAGTCCAGAATTGGAGAGGGTGTAGAAAAGAGCCACAAAAATTATTTGAGGTCTGGAGAAAATGCCTGACAGTGAGAGAATAAAGAGCACCATCTGTTTAGCCCATCAAAAGGGGGATTGAGAGGTGATTTGATTACAGCATGTACATTCCTTCTCAGGGAGAAATAGTGGGTTCTAAAGGGCTCGTAAAATCGAATTCTGCCAAGCCTAATTAAAGTTTTTGATCATTTTTAATGGAGAATATCAATGTTTATTTCTAAGTATTTGTTAGATTTTTATTGATTTTAACATTTTCACAGTGCACAAAATTACGGGTTTTAAGTATTTTTTAAGATTTTTATCAATTTAAATTTTCATAGTCATAGAAAATTACGGGGGGTATCAGACAATAATTAAATGACAGTAAACACTGAGATTTCAAAAGTTAAAGGTTTATAATTGTTAAAACACATTGTCAACATCACGTGTCAAATTATGCAAAGTAAATACTCTTCAATCAAATTAGTAATTTCTGAAGCAATATTTTTCTTACTTTGCCTCTCAGTAAATGTTGTTAATAATCAATGGAAATATCTTTTAGTTGGTTTGTGTGTGCATGGTGAAATCGATACTTATCAGCATTTACTGACAAAGAATCTAATCCTTCCCAACGCCTGGAACCTGAAGCTAGATAAATTCAAATAGAAATTAGGCAGAGATTTGCAGAGCCGGATTAAGGCAGGGGCTTTAGGGGCTGCAGCCCAGGGCCCTGGTTCAAGGGGGGGCCCCACAAAAATAAATCATAGGCAACCATCTCCAACTCTGGGCCGCTAAAAGTCCTGCGGCGCAGCGAGACGCTCAGGCAGGCTGCCTGCATGCCATGGCCCCATGCCGCTCCCAGAAGCGGCTGGCTGCTAACGCATTTCTACGGCCCCTGGCAAGGGGGGAGGTGGCTCCGCAGGCTGCCTCCGCCACCAGCACTGTCCTCACAGCTCCCATTGGCTGGAAACCGTCCAATGAGAGCAACGGGGGCGGCGCTTGCGGGTGCAGGCAGCGCACGGAGACATGCTGTCCCCTTCCTCCCAGGGGCTGCAGAGACGTGCTAGGAGCCAGCTGCTTCCTTACGGCAGGCAGCTTGCCTGAGCCCTACTGAACTGCCAGCCTGTGGTAAGCACCTCCTGGCTGGAGCTCGCACCTCGCACCCCCGCCTCCACCCCAATCCCCCGCCCCATATCAGAATCCCCCTCCTGCACCAAACTCCCTCACAGACCTCACACCCTCTCCTGCACCCCAATCCTCTGTCCCAGCCCCCTCCTGCACCAAACTCCCTCCCAGGAAAAAGACTTGTACACAGGGGCCCCACAAAATCGAATAGTCCCAGGTCCACAGGAGAGTTAATCCGGCCCTGGAGATTTGTAACAGCGAGGGTGATTAACCACTGAAACAAACTCCCAGGGGGAACGGGATTCTCCATCTCCTGATCTCTTTTCTGGAAGTCACGCTTGTCACGCTGTCTGGAGTGGCTCATGGCCACAAGTGCCCACCTCCGGGCACACTGTCAGAAACAGGGCAGGCACCCCAAGCTGGCGCTATGTTCTATCATTAGATTTCACCAAGCCAGTAACAAGTGTGAACCCCTGGATCATTATAATAGTCTTACCATGAAGTCAGACAGTCCCCTTAGGTTACGTCTGTACTATGGATCTTACAGTTGCACTGCTGTAAGGTCTCCTGTGTAGCCGCTCTATGCCAGCGGGAGAGCACTCTCCCCGCGACATAATTAAACCACCCCAATGAACCTGACAGGCTGTGGACACGCTGCTTTGGTGGTAGTTCTGGGCTTTCACCCTCAGAGTTCTGACTCCAGCTGCAGCCACCAAAAGGCCATTCCAACAACTGGAGCTCGGGCTGGGAGCCTCTTTGGCCATTTCCTGTATGCTGCTGTCTTCCCAGCCTTCGGTCAGGGCTTGAGAGGTTTGTGTGCTTTGAGTGGCTGACAAAGCAAATCGCAGCATCAGAGGAGGGCTGCTTTGTCTAGTGGTTAAGGAGCCACCTTGGGACTCAGGAGACCTGGTTCAAGGCTGGCCGTGCCACAGTCTCCCTGCATGACCCTGGGCCGCTCCAGGCCTTCGCCTCCAGATGTGCGATGCGGGGGATGTCCTGGCCCTGCCCAGCACGGTGTGTGGGAGTGTGGTCAAGGGGGACGGTAAATTCCTTGGCAAGAGATCTAAGCTAGATACCAAATGCATTCCCAAGTCAAGGCTGGAAGCCTGAGAACTTCCCTCCGGGGGCCTTTAGACCTGCCTAGGCGCCGTCTGCTCAAAGGGGAATCAGCCCCAGCCAACCAAGGAGTCCCTGGGCCTGGAGAGAGGGGACACTTATGGCCACCTGTAGAGGGCTAATAGGTGGGCTCTGTTTGTAACCTCAGGAAATGCTCTTCTCATAGGCATACTGACCTGTAGGCCCCTTCTAGGGAAAAGAGCCATGACTCACCCAGATTCCCCCGGGAAGATGGGGGTGAGGATGGACTAGATGAGGGAGGTTGGTTAGCCTCTGAGTGCGCTGGCCTTGCCTGCACAGTGCCAGGTGCCCCTGCGTCTGTCAGGAGTGCTGGGAAGGACTTGCTTGTAGGTGCCTGGGGCAGCAGCCAGCTTGGCTCCCCAGAGAACCCAGAACCAGAGGCTTAATGAGCCGAGGTTAGCAGACCCATCTGAGCCCCATCAGCCCTCTGGCCTGGGGTGATGCTGCCCTGTCTGTGTGCTGCCAGCCTGGGGTAGGAAACGTCATCTCTTTCACCAGGGCAGCCATCCAAAGGAGAGACCCAGGCCCAATACATGGATGATAGCCCAGTGGGGTCCATGTCTCACTGACCCTGTGGGGCCCCTGTCCTGCTGAAGGTGTTGGAAGGTTTGGCTTGCTCAGAATTGAGCCTGCCTGGCCTGGGATCAGTGTGCGTCTGCAGGGGCTCTGGGCTGCTGGCACTCAGGAGGGAGAGCCAGGGGAGCTAGTCGAATTAGCAGTTATAGAGAAGCGGGTCCCAGCCTCGGGATGCTGTGGTCAGAGGGCTAGGCCTGGCGGCGGAGGTAGGCCTGTGACACTGGCTGTGTGCCCTCTGCTCAGCCAACGCACAAGCATTGCCAATGGCTGGCACTGGCCCCTTCAGGCGTTGCCTCGGGAGTCAGAAAACAGGGCAGGAGTCAGCAAAGGGCTGCCCTACCTGTGCCAGACCCCCAGCGCCCGCTGAGGGGAGCGAGAGAGATGCTGAGGCCAAGCATAAGGAGTGTGGGGTCTGCAGCCAGAGGTGGAGGGGCTCCAGTGCCTGCTTCTTTGGCAGAACACCAGGGGCAGGGCCGAGGGTGCAGCAGGACCTTCCATTGAGATGTTCACAGACAGAAGAGAGGGCACCTGATGCCTCCCCTCCCCCATAGGCCCTCAGCATCTAGTGCCCCACCCCATGACCCCTCACTGTCCAGCACCCCCTCCATTGACACTCCATTCCTCATGACCTAGTCCAGTCCCCACTCTCCTGTATTCCCCTCATTCCCTACTCCTCCATCTCCCCCGTTCCCTGTGCCCATCTGGTCAGTCTGTCTGCCCCTCATTGCCATGGTCTGTCTGGGCACTGGGGGTAGAGCAAGGGGGTCATGGCAAGAGACAGAGGGGTTCCTGCCTTTCCATGGCGAGGTCAGAAATGCGAGCAGTGATCTCCCTCCACCTGCCCCAGGTCCTGCACATCTCCCCCCTTCCCAAAGCAATGCCAGCTTCCAGGACTCAGCTAGCCACCGGCCTGCTGCAGCTGGGCTGTTTGCAGGCTCCTGCAGCCCCTGTGCATGCAGGACACTCCCTATCAGGCTGCTGGGGAAGGAGCCCCAGGATGGGCCCAGTGCTGAGTGACATACAGCAAGATCCCTCTCCAGGGAAAGCCCAGGAATCCCTTTCAGTGCCCTCTCATGGCCTGTGGCCTGCAGAGCCCTGACCCACCTGGGGCAGCTGGCCTGGTGGGAGAAGCAGTGCCGGGATCTGGCACCGCCGGGGTTGGGCCCACAAGGTCTCTGGGAATCCTGGAGGGCAGGTGACGGCGTGGCCTGTGGTGGGCTGGGCTCCATTTGTCCTGGGTGAGATGCCCAGGCCCTAGCTGGCCTGGGCATGGCTGCAGCACTACCCCTCCGCAGGTCCTGGCAGCTGGTGTTGTTCCTCTCCCCTGCGGTCCACCCTCCTGGCAGAGTCCTGTGTTTAACCTCCTCTTTTTTCAGACATTCGTGACAGTGGGGCCAAGCCCGTGATGGTTTATATCCATGGCGGCTCCTACATGGAGGGCACAGGGAACATGATTGATGGCAGCATCCTGGCCAGCTACGGCAACGTCATCGTCATCACCCTCAACTACCGCGTGGGCGTGCTAGGTACGGGCGCAGCAGGGCCCAACTCCCGGGGCGGGGGGGAGGAAGAGGGGCCCCTGAGGGCCTCAGCTGTTGTTGGGAGGGGGGCAAGGATATGTGGGGCAGAGCCCTGAGGGACTCAGCTCTTGTTAGGTGGGGGGAGCAGGGGTATGTGGGGCAGAGCCCCAAGGCCAGGGTAGAAGGGGTATGTGGGGCAGAGCCCCTAGGACAGGGGCTTGGGGGGCAGAGCCCCAAGGGCGGGGGGGGCAGAGCCCCAAAGCCAGGGGAGAAGGGGTGTGGGGGACAGAGCCCCTAGGATGGGAGTGTGGGGTGCAGAGCCCCGAGGCCAGGGGAGAAGGGGGTGCAGAGCCCCGAGCTGTGGGGCAGAGCCCCGAGGCCAGGGGAGAAAGGGTGTGGGGGACAGAGCCCCAAGGCCAGGTGTAACAATGCTGGTTCTGGCGGGACCCAAATGAGAGTGCCACTCGTTATGGGGACCACCAGTGCCACTCATTATGGGGACAAATGGTTATGAAAACCAATACCCCAGTAAAAGAAAAAAGGTTTTCTTGATCCCAAAGGATCAAGCCCCAGACCCAGGTCAATATACAAATCAGTTTTTACCCACAAATCATGCTGTTGCCAATCCTTTAGAATCTAAAATCTAAGGGTTTATTTATAAAAGGAAAAAGATAGAGATGAGAGCTAGAATTGGTTAAATGGAATCAATTACATACAGTAATGGCAAAGTTCTTGGTTCAGGCCTGTAGCAGTGATAGAATAAACTGCAGGTCTAGCTCAAGTCTCTGGAATACATCCCCAGCTGGGATGGGTCATCAGTCCTTTGTTCAGAGCTTCAGTTTGTAGCAAAGTCCCTCCAGAGGTATGAAGCAGGATTGAAGACAAGATGGAGATGAGGCATCAGCCTTTTATAGTCTTTTCCAGGTGTAAGAACACCTCTTTGTCCTTACTGTGGAAAATTACAGCAAAATGGAGTCTGGAGTCACATGGGCAGGTCCCTGCATACTTTGCTGAGTTTCAAGGCGTATCTGCCTTCTCTCAATGGGTCAGTTCCATAGCTGATGGTCCTTAATGGGACATCAAGCAGGCTAGGCAGAGCTAATACCAACTTATCTGGGATGTCACCCAGAAGCATAGCATAAGTTTGAAATACAGACAGTATAGAGCCAATATTCATAACTTCAACTACAAAATTGATACACACATATAGGCAGCATAATCATAACCAGTAAACCATAACCTTGTCTTAGACACCCCATTTGACCCCCTTTATACAAGATTTGGTGCCACTACAGGACTTTGGTTGCAACCATGTTCTATACGGTCCCAGTTCAAATCAATAACGTGACACCAGGGGAGAAGGGGTGTGGGAGGCAGAGCCCCGAGGCCAGGGGAGAAAGGGTGTGGGGGACAGAGCCTCGAGGGCGGGGGGCAGGGGTGTGGGAGGCAGAGCTCCGAGGGTGGGGGGCAGGGGCGTGGTGGGGGGCAGAACTCCAGGGGGACTCTGCTCAGGACGGCCTAGGAAGGGAAGTGGCCTGCTCGGAGAGGAGCTGACGGGCTGGAAGGAGGTCCCCCCGGCGGCATCAGGAGCTCCAGGGAGGCCAGTTTGGTATCCCTGCTGAAGGCTGTGCTCTGCCCTTCCCCTGCAGTTCCTCTAGCTGCAGATCTGTTCTGCTCACAGGGATGAGGGAGAACCTCAGCCCAGGGCCCTGTAGCCCTGCCCTCATGTCTCCCCAAGGGGGGGTCGTGTCTCCCCGTGGCTCAGGGAAGGGGCCCGGGGGGGGTCAAGTTATGGCCAGAAGGGTTGGGGCAGGGGGATGAGGGTGTCATTGAGATTGTTCAGTCCTGCCAGCATCACCTGAGAAAGGTGGGAGTGGGCTTGGGGCCTCTAGCTGGCCCTTTGTGCTTCCTGCTGCCTGTCCCCGACCTCTCTGCCAGCGCTGTACATGCCTGTGGCTGGGCTCTGGGGCAGCGCTGAGGCTCCCTGGACTGGGGAGTTTAGTTTCATTTACACAGCCTGGCTCAGCTGAAAGCAAATATTGATCCACGGTTAAATAATTAATACATGTGTTTATCCAGCTCCTCCTCCCTGGAGGCTGGGAGCAGCAGCTGCCCAGCCAGCGCTAATGAGCCGCCCCCTGGGACATGTCCCATCCATTCTGCCTCTGGAAACAGATCGATGGGAGCTTTCTCGAAGGGCAGATGGCTTACCCTGCTGGCGCACCACAGCAGACCCCAGAGCCAGGCTGTGTCAGCGCTTGCAGGGCACAGCTTTGCTCCTGGCAATGGCCAGTGGGCCTGCTGGCACTGAAGCCATGCAGAGCTGAGCCGCTCCAGATGGGCAAGGCCATATCTAGCCCCTCTCTCCCAGGGCGGCCGGAGGGCTTGGTCCCTGCAGTGTGTGTATTCTTCCACCTTTCCCTTGGGAGAGTGTCCTGTGGAGGGAGGGTGGGCTCAGGCAGGCCAGCTGCAGATGTTGGACCAATTCACTTAGGCCAAGTGTGCTGACCTGAGATTCCTGGGGCGTGATTCACACTGACATCCGTTGGGGCTAGGGACACACAGGCTTCTCAAAATCAGGCACCAGGCACCTCTTCCCAGCCCCAGCTCCCAGAGTGGACAGAGGAGCTGCCTTGTTGGGGATCCTCTCCTGTGGCCAGGTTCATTCCGAATCCCCTTGTTTATGCCTGGCACCCCAAACCCTCCCTCTGCCCCAGCCCAACTTGTCTGTGAACAGGGGCTTTCTGGGGGCTTTCCACTCCCCTCCCCCAGCTGCGTTAGAAGGCTGATGACAGGATGCTTGGCCTGGGTGCTCTGCAGAATGGAGGAACGTTGGTTCTGCCAGCTGCCGCAGGCCTGGCGAAGGCTGGGGGCTGGGCTGGTGAGCCCTGCCATGAGCAGTGGACATACTGCTCTCTGGGCTGGGGCTGGAGTCAGGGACTGTGGGGGGCCTCGTCGTTTCTTTAGCTAATGCCCCAAGCCAATGGTTTGGCCTGAAGAAATTGCTGAGGGCAGAAGCTGATGGCTTCCCTGGGCGTGAGGAGCTCCACCGCTCTGGGGAAGTGAGCCCCCCACCCCTGCTGGAGCAGTGAGAGCCCCAGGGACCTGGAGAGTGTCTGCAGGCAGAGAGAGGCGATGGGGAGGTGGCTGGGGGACTCCTGGGTTCGTCAGCCCAGCAGGACGGCTCCTTGCAGCCTGTGCTGGAACAGGGCTCAGGGCCTGAGTCACTCTATTGATGGTGGTCAATCGAGTGGGAGGTCATCTCTCAGAAAGCAGATGGCTCAGCCGAGTGCCCATGTAGGCCCATTCCTCTGCACTGAGCCCTGCTGGCCACCCAAGGGGTGTGGGCTGGGCTGCTACATTGTGCCCAGGAGAGGAGTGGGAAGGAGCAGTGGGAGAGTCCAGCTGGGAAAGGCAGGCTCTTTGTCCCCATTTCACAGCAGGGATGGAGGCCCCAGAAGATTCAGAGCCTGTTCCTGGGGGCTCTCAGTGGGGAGGTGCCAGGGACTGGCAGGGAAATGGGGGCCCCGGGGGCTCAGAGTGGGGAGGGTGCCGGGGCTGGCAGTGGGATGGGGGCCCCGGGGGCTCACAGTGGGGGTCCCTGGCCTCAGCTCTGAGGCTCACAGTCAAAGAAGATCCCAGAGGCTTGCTGCACGGCCTTGGCCACAGGTGCTCGCAGCCGGAGGTTTGAGAGGGGCTCCCACACTGGCTGGGACTGGAGGGGATTGTGGGAGGTCATGAGACCGGCTGCTTGCTGTGTCCTAAGTGGGTTCCGTTTGGCTGCAGGATTCCTGAGCACCGGGGACCAGGCAGCCAAGGGGAACTATGGGCTGCTGGATCAGATCCAGGCGCTGCGCTGGATCAGTGAAAATATTGCCTTCTTCGGGGGGGACCCCCTGCGAATCACTGTCTTTGGCTCCGGCATCGGCGCCTCCTGCGTCAGTCTGCTCACTCTCTCCCACCACTCAGAAGGTAAGTGTGGGCACTCCCAGCCTGGCTGTGAGCCAGCCCCCAGCCAGCGCTGCTGCCAAGCACTCCTTAGCAAAGGGAATGAGAGTCTAGTGGTTAGAGCAACAGAGATGTAGGCAAGGCACTAGGGTTCTGTTCCTGGTTCTGTCCCCCTTCTGTCCGCCTTCTCCAGGTCTGCATTTCCCCATTGTAAATGAAGAGTGTAACCCTGGCCCCCCGCCCAGGGGCAGGGAAGGGGAAAGCGGTTAACAGGCTTGCACTGCCTGGGTGGCTGGTGCTAGATGGGCCAAGTGTGGGCTGTCCCCAGGAGAACAAAGGTAGAGGAATGTCCCAGAGCACGTGTGGGGTTGGCCTGGGGCTGTAGGTCTATAGCTGTTTGGGGTGTGGGATCAGGAACAGAGATGCCAATCCAGACTAGTGGGATGTGGACAAACACTTCTGGGACCTCTACAAGAGGCTCCATCCTGGCCCCCTGATGCAAGGCCATGGAAATATAACTGGAAACAGAATTACCCTTGAAAATATCACTACAGCTCCCCGGGCCCCTGATAATATGCCAGGGCTGAAGGGCGCCTTCAGTGGATCAGCCCTAAGAATCCCTGGCCCAGGCAGTATTAAATGACACTGAACCTGACCTGCCAATCCAGCCCCTCCCTGCGATGGGCTCTGGTGACTAATTACTCTATGGTTCCAAAGCAGAAACGAGTCAGAACTGGCTGTGGGAGCAGCAGCTGCAGATGTTTTGTCGCTTCCTCCCATTCCCCAGACAGGAGCTGTGGTAAATGGGTTACCCCTGAGAGGACGTGTCAGCACCTGAGGGTAAAATACATTGTCGAGATGTCATTATCCCCAAGCCCTGCAGCATGAGCCCAGGAAATTCACAGGTCAGGGGAAGTTTAACAGCACTCCAGACATGGTAAGGGCTTGAAATGCAGAGCTAGGGCCCCCAAGTCACCTTAACTCTGCCCTGTCACAGACTTTCCCAACCCCACCCTGCAGACACTCCTGATGGGTCCACACTGCATCTGGGAGAGCCTCCCAGGCCAGGTCCACAGACTTGTGCCAATGGGGCTCACAAGAGGGCTCTACAGAGAGCTGTGTAGATGATGCTTTGATGTTCCAGCTTGGGCTGGAGCCGAAGGGGAGTGAGGGAGCTTGAGAGCTCCAGCCCAAGGCGCTAGCATGATCCCTGCTACCGCGAGTCTATGGAGCCAGGCTGGGAAGCTCGCTCCCAGTTGGAGGGTTGACACCCTCGTTAACAAACCGACAGAAACAACAAATGGTAAGCGATTTGCCTGCTTCATAGATCACAGAACCGCCTTAGACTCAGCTGGCACCTAGAACGGAACCTTCAACTTGCTGCAAAATAGAACAGTTAGGAAAACATGAATTCATTAAATCCGCATACCAATCCATTAGGTGCAAATAAAAACTAACATGCAAATGCAGGAAGGCCTCCAAGCCAGAATGGGGGTAAAACCTCAGCCCAAACCTCTGCAAAATCGACACCAGTGATCTACCCCAACCTGGTGTGACCCTTTTTGGGGGGTACCTGAGCTGTCTGGGGTGAATTACTCCCACCTGCTTACTCACCCGCCACCAGCTGCTGCCAACACAGGCGTTGTGCTCGAGCTCCGTGGCCTCTGCCGGCTGGCAATTTGCACACCCCACTCTGTGACACTCGAATGCCCGGTCCCTTATCTTCTGAACACCCCCAATGCACGCCAATCTGCTGCTTCAGTGGAGCCAGTGCAGCCCTGTTCACTGGTTTCACCTCAGTTCCACAGTCTCCTCAGCCCAAGGCACTTGGACAGGTTCATAGTCAAACCAAACTGAAGTTTATTGGACAGAGCTTGAGATAAAGAGTCAAGTAAAAGAATGTGGAACCATAAGGTTATAGTTAGGAGAAAAACACAAAATGCAATCCAGAGCCTGTACTTAGTAACAAGTGCCTTTCCTGCCTAATAGGAGATTTCTCACCCACTGGTTAGTTCTTGCAGCGCTTCTCCAGCTGGCAGAGTGACTCCTTTGTAAGGGTGCACCATTTGGGCCATTTCTTCTCCTCTCAGACAGTCTCTAGCTACTCTTCCTTATCCCAGGGAGAATCGTTTGTCTTTGTAAATCTGCAGCCTGCATCCAGTCTAGCAGTAAACGCAGGCTTTCTTCACAGATGCTGAATGGGTCAGCTCTCTGCCTCCCCTTCCTCAGGTGAGAGCTTTCAGTCCCAGCACCCTGGGAACACAATCTCCTACACATTGCACAGCGCTGAAATTGTTCCTGTACATACACCTCGCAATAACCAGGCCAATCAGTGAGTTCTTAGCTTTGGGCAGAGAGCACACAGCTCCCTTGGAGAGCTATTCTGAAGTTGGTCGAATAGAGGGGTGTGATCTACCTGCCAGGGCATGGCTGGCTGCATTACACCAGGGACTCCCACTAATCAGCTGCTTGCTGATGATCTGGTCAGACTGTCACCCACACAAGGGTGCCTACAGAGGACAGTATACTGCCTAGAAAGCCCCTGCAGCACTCAGGCTCTGCAGGCCCCCTGGAAACAACAGAAATCAGATGATTTTCAGAAGAACCCCAAACGGTCACATTCCATTACAGAAACATGGACATTGAATACAGCCTAAATCACACTGGCCCAGGCCACTTCCTAATGCTGCAGAGCATTTCCCATGGCCAGGGAGACCTTACAAGGAGCAGCTCTAGGGGAGCGTGCACATGCTGAGGAACGTAACAGATGAGGCATGGGGCTCTATGCAGGTACCTGGGGTGTGGGGCATAGGGTGTGTGTATATAGGGGGGGCAGGCAGGAGAGACATAGGAGTGTGTGCATGTACCTGAGAAATGGGGGGGGGGCTGAGGCATAGGGGGTGTAGGTACCTGGGGAGGGTTAGAGGTATATATGGGGATGTTCAGTATCTGGGTGTGAGGATGGGGAACGAGTGCGTGGGAGTACCAGTGTTTGGGTATGTATATGTAGGAGTAGGATATAGGGGTGTGTGTAGGTATCTGAAGGGGTGGGCATATGGTGGGGGAGGGGTACAAGATGCATGGGGGTATCTGAGCTGGGATATGGTGGAAGTGGGCTATAGGGTTGCATGCAGGTATCTGTGTGGGAGCTGGGGTGAGGTACAGGGGTACATGCAGGTATCCGTGTGGAGCAGGGACATGTCTGAGGGGGGTAGAGGGGTGTGTGTGGGTATCTGTATGGGGGCAGGGATGTGGAGGTGGAGTGCAGGGGTACAAGGGGTATCTGTGTGGTGTTGGATTACAGGGGTGCATGCAGGTATCCATATGTGGGGTACAGGAGTGAGTGTGGGTATCTGTGTGGGGCAGAGATATGGTGGGGAGAGGTACAGGGGGGTGTGTGAGTATCTGTGTGGGGGTGGGGTCCAGGGGTGAGTGTGGGGGTGGGGATATGGTGGGGAGGGGTACAGGGGTGCATGCAGGTATCTGTGTGGGAGTGGGGTCCGGGGGTGGGGTCCAGGGGTGAGTGTGGGGGCGGGGATGTGGTGGGATCGGGTACAGGAGTGCATGCGGGTATCCGGGTGAGGGCGGGGATGGGGTGGGGTGGGGTGGCTATCTGTGTGGGGCAAGGACATCTTGGAGTGGGGTACAGGGCTGTGTGTGGGCATGTGCCAGTGGCTCTCTGAGGTGCGTCGCTGGCTCTCTCCAGAGGGACTACGGCCCCGGTGTGGGGGTGCGTGTTCTGATGAGGGTGTGAAGCCGCCGTGCTGCCGATGAGGTGCCCTTTGCGTGTTTGTGCGCTGCTTGTTTGAGACTCAGTGCTGTCTCCAAAGTTGCGCTCGCTTCCTCGGCAACGTCCTCCTGGCTGCTCTTCCCAGGCCTCCTATCACCTCAGCTTTAGCCTAAGTGAGCCCCAAATGGCAGGTGCCAGCATCTAGTGCCCTGGGGCTCGTGCAGCTCCCTCTGGGCGGGTGCTCAGATGTGCCTTGCTGGGCTCCATTGAGTCCTGCAGCAGAAGCAAGGGTGTGTGAGATGGGGGTGAAGGTGGATGAGAGGGCAGTGCCAGCCAGCCCTCGGGAAGGGCAGGAACAGGCCTGCACACATGGGTACAGGTGAAGGGTAGATTCTCAAAGAACTGGGTGCTGAACTCTTTTAATGGTCGGGCTCCAGTCGCGGGTGCTCAGTGCCACCCAGTGGATTTGGCTCCCCAGGCATTGGGGTCCCGCCATGAGGTTCTGATGGTGGAGGAAGCTCAGCAGCTGTCTGCCCCTGATGGACCCTAGACAGATGGGTCCTTCTAGAATAATGGGTCACGGGATCCGTTTAGCATAAGGAAAGAAAGGATCAGAGAGGCAGGGCACAAAGCCATCGGGGACATCTTGCCACGTTGTGCCCTCTCCTCCCAGTGGGAGCGGTGCTTGCCCTTGCTCTACGCAGCCCCCTGGGATCTACAGGAGAGAGGTTCGTGAGCATGCAGTGTGGGGATTCGGAGAGCCAGGCTGGCCCCTAGAACCAGCACTGCCAAAGGGTGGCCCTTTAGCACTGGATGTGCGGGAGGTTTGTCAGCCCAGCTGCAGCCAAGGCAGGAAAGCCCCTGGCTCACCCAGTCAGTTTCGCCATGCGTTAGCAGGGTCAGATTCCTTCATGCCTGGGAGGAGATGCCACTTGGGTGCAGTGGGCCCAAGTGCCCAGCTGGGCTCTTGCTGATGGCCATGCACTGCACAGGCCCTAGGTAATCTCCAGCTCAGAGGCAAGGGAGAGTGTCACTGTCTCTGCAGCTGGGAGCCGGGCTTGTGTCTCCAGAGAGGTGTTTCCTTTTGTATCCTGGAGCAGGGTGAAAAGGAGGGCCCAATCCCTGTTCAGCCAAGTGCCCAGCTTCCCCCCACCCACCCCATCCCACCCCCCAGCAGCTCTCTGGTAGGCCTTTCCAACCTCACTTCTGTGCACACCGGACATGTACAGCCTTGCAGCCAGCACTTCAGGGCAGGGGGAGCCACCACGCTCCTCCCTAGGCTTAGCCCTCTGGG